CTGGCTAATTTTTAGAGACAAGGTTTCACCATGTTGCCCAGGCTGGTCTCAAACTGCTAGGCTCAAGTGATCCTCCCACTTTGGCTTCCCAAAGTGCTGGGATTACAGGCATAAGCCACCGCACCTGGACTGAAATGCAATTTCTGTATCAATTGATGTGACTTTTTTTTTCTTTAGCCTGTGTTATGAGCTGATGTGTCCCTCTCCTCCTCTGCCCCAAAATTCATGTATTGAAGTCCTAACCCCCTGTACCTCAGAATATAACCATATTTGGAGATACAATCTTTAAATAAGTAAAATTAAAATGAGATTATTAGAGTGGTCCATAATACATTTTGACCAATGTCCTTGTAAGAAGAAGAAATTTGGCCACAGACACACATGGAGGGAAGATGATGCGAAGACAGAGAGAAGAAGGCCCTCGGAAGGAACCAATCCTGCTAACACCTTGATCTTGGACTTCCAACCTCCAGAACTGTGAAACATAAATTTCTCACTGTGCTTTCCCCAAGTCTATGGTACTTTGTGGCACCATGCCCTCTTTAGAACACAAGCTGAGATACTCATAAAGGACTGAGTTTTGCCTGATCCACCAATCCATGAACTGGGCTTGCAAAGTCATTCCCCATCCTTACGTGAAAGTTGCGCATATGACCTCAAGCTCAAGTGTAGCCTGGAAGCTGAAGTGGGTCTAACAAGCAGGGGGCTCCCACTTCCAGTGTCCTCAGACTCTCCCTTCCTGGCCACGTCTCCCTCAACTCACACCCATGGCCTGATGGGGAGTTCTGAGCCCAGCACACGAAGGGTTCTGTGTGACACAGCACCAGCTGGTAGTGGACTGCTACAGCATCACAGCACACACATGGGTGTCACTGAAAGACAGTGCAAAGAGATATCTCCAAGCAGATAGAGCTTTGAGGGGCACATCTAGTCCACTTTGTTTTGAAGGAGAGTAGTTCTGAACTGTGGCTGTATGCAAGGGCATACATAACAGTTTAGCTGTTGTGAGAAATATTATTACCTTAGGAGTTAAGAACTCAGATTTGAGCTGACTGCCTGGGTTCAAGTCCTGGCTTTGCTACTTACTGTCCATGCAACTTTAAGCAAGTGATTAAACTTTCTGTACCCCTATTACCTCTTCTTACCATTTTAAAGAAGGTAATGATACTATCTACCTCATAGAGTTGCTGTGGTGAGGACTGAATTAATATAGGTAAAGTACTCAGCACCTGGAACACAGTAAGCACTGTGTAAGTTTATCTGCAATGGATGATGATGGTGATGATGCCCAACAGTCAGGGATTTGGAAGGAACAGAACTAGGACCCATAACAAAAAATGTTGGCAAATTCAAGAATGGTTCAAATCCTATAGGGTTGAAAATTTCCCCCACCAGGGAACGAACCCGGATCAGCCATGGTACAGGCTGAAGGCAAAGAGAAGGTGGAGGGGGTCAAGAAGAAAGGTAGTTGTAAATATCAACTACAGCCTTAGGCCTGTTGCAGAAATGAAGATTCCAACAGGCATAAAATGCTTTGTCCTTGTCCTATTATGTGACCATTTTCACTTTCCTTCCCCTCTCCCTTTCCTCTTCTGTTTTATATATGGTGATCCTTCTCAGCCAGGGGTGATTTTGAGCCATGGGGGACTGATATGGTTTGGCTCTGTGTCCCCACCCAAATCTCATCTAGAATTGTAATACCCACGTTTACAGGGAGGGAGGCAATTGGATCATGGGGATGGTTTCCCCCATGCTCTTCTCATGGTAGGGAATTCTCATGAGATCTGATGATTTTAAAAGTATCAGTTTTCTCCTGTGCTCTCACTTCTCCCTCCTGCCGTCTTGTGAAGAAGGTGCCTGCTTCACCTTCCACCATGATTGTAAGTTTCCTGAGGCCTCCTCAGACATGCAGAACTGTGAGTCAATTAAACCTCTTTCCTTTTATAAAGTACCCAGTCTCAGGAAGTTCCTTATAGCAGTGTGAAAACGGACTAATACAGGGACCTTTGCCAATGTCTGGAGACAATTTCAATTGCCATGACTTGGGAAAGGGGAGTGCTACTGGCATCTAGCAAGTAGAGTAAGGGAGGCTGCTAAACATCCTACAATGCACAGAAAATTCCCCCACAACAGCAATTATTTGGCCCAAAATATCAGTGTTCTCAAGGTAGAAAACTGATAGAGTATAGATGGTGGTTCATATTTTAAGTCCACAAGTTACAGGATATCAAGATGGAATTGGGATTGAACCAAAGAAGGCTGAATAATACCCAGAAGTGGGTGTGTGCTTTCCTGTTCTTCAGAGTCTACAAAGAGAAACACTCTGTTTCCCAGACTTGCTTACAACAAGGGATCTGGGTGTGACTTAGATCCAGCCAGCCAGAGGCACTCCCGTGCCTCAGATTGCAGCAGAGTTTACAGTACCCTGGGGTGGACTAATTCTGCGGGGTTGTTTTTTATGTCATTTCTGAAAGTCCAATTAATAGCCCATTTCTCCAGCTCTTCCAATTATTTTACAAACACTAAAACCCTATATAGAATCCCTTAATGCTTAAAATAGTAAGAGTAGTTTCTGCAATAGAACTCTGATCGATACGGCAATAAATAGTATCCACAATGACTTATCAATAAGGAAAAGTTAAAAAAGGAAAGAAAATTAAGTAAAATATGTGAATATTCCAGAGGGAAAAAATAAGAATGTTCTATAAACTTGAAAAGACGTTCAGCCTCATCAGTATTAAGGGCAACCACAACGAGATACATTTTCACATCCACCAGATCAACAGTTTGGATGATGCCTGTAAGTAGTCCTGAAGCAGTGCCTCCCAACCTTTCTTACCTAACAGTGCACAGAGAAAGCCATAGAATGTTATCAGCACAGGCCGGGTGCGGTGGCTCACACCTGTAATCCCGGCACTTTGGGAGGCCGAGGTGGGGGGATATCTTGAGATCAAGAGTTCTCTACTAAAAATACAAAAATTAGCTGGGTGTGGTGGTGGGCACCTGTAATCCAGCTATTTGGGAGGCTGAGACAGGAGAAACGCTTGAATTCAAGAGGTGGAGGTTGTAGTGACCTGAGATCACACCACTGCACTCTAGCCTGGGTGACAAAGTGAGACAACATCTGAAGAAAAAAAAAAGAAAGAAAGAAAATACAAGTCAGTAAGAACAAGCTACCAACAGCCTCCAAAGACTTACATAGGATCAGTATTTCTGCAAGAAAATCAAGAAAGCAATAGACTCGAGAAGATTCACTGGAAAACAAGGCAAGCAAGTTAAGAACAGCAAGCAAAGAGGAGGCATTTTTCTCACTTAATAGTAGATACGTACAAGGGTTCCACCATAGCAGGAAGATTACATCGTAAGACAACAACATTCAAACACGAAACACAGTATATATAAAATTAGAGATATTGCTGGGCACGGTGGCTCATGCCTGTAATCCGAGCATTTTGGGAGGCCCAGGCAGGCAGATAACCTGAGGTCAGGAGTTTGAGACCAGCCTGGCCAACATAGTGAAACCCTGTCCCTACCAAAAACACAAAAATTAGCTGGGCATGGTGGCATCCATGTGTAATCCCAGCTACTTGGGAAGCTGAGGCAGGAGAGTTGCTTTAACCCAGGAGGTGGAGGTTGCAGTGAGCCGAGATCGCATCATTGCACTCTAGCCTGGGCAACAAGAGCAAAACTCCATTTCAAAATAAAATAAAATAAAATAAAATAAAATAAAATAAGAGATATTGACAATTGGGGAAGAGGGAGAGAGACTGGAGCATCTAGCTCCTGTGAACACCCAAAACACTGGATAATGTGGAGACCCCCTGACCTTCTCCTGACTGTGGGCTGCTGGGTTCGTTAATGGTAGAGTAGCTTAGGATGGGCTCCTTCGTTCAACCCAAAGAGCAGGGGCTCACAGAGGTGTGTTGGACTCACTTTCGCCCTGCTACCTCATACTAAAAACCCCTGGGTCAGAGGGTCAGAGACCTGCGTTCCATCTGTGGCTGTCTGAAACCATCTGTGGCTGTCTGAAACCTCCAAAAAACCATTTCACTTCTCTGAGTCTCAGTCTCCTTGTCTGTACATGGGAATGATTTTAATGCTTACTGTGCTGCTTATCTCAAGAGACTGTGAGGTTGATCAAAAGAGACAAGGGGTGTGGAAGGGAAAGGGTCCAAGAAGAGCACTTTTCACAGTCATGAGTGCAGGAGGCAGTTTCGCCTGTGCTGCTATGGGATCTTAGGCAAAGCAGCAACTTCTTTCAGCTCCAGTTTTTCTCACTTTAAAATGACAACAGTCCAGGAGCGGTGGCTCACGTCTGTAATCCCAGCACTTTGGGAGGCTTAGGCAGGCAGATTGCTTGAGTCTAGGAGTTCTAGACCAGCCTGGGCAACATGGCAAAACCCCATCTCTACAAAAAATACAAAAATTAACTGGGTGTGGTGGTGTGCGCCTGTAATCCCAGCTACTAAGGAGGCTGAAGTGAGAGGATTGCTTGAACCCGGGAGACAGAGTCTGGAGTGAGCTGAGATCACACCACTGCACTCCAGTCTGGATGACAGAGTGTGACCCTGTCTCAAAAAAATGAGTAAAATAAAATGATAATATTTTGCATTACAGAGTTTCTGTGAGAATGGAGTAATACCAGGAAAGCACGTGGCACAGTGCCTCACACATGGAGCGCGTTCGCTAAACGTTAGTCACAAGTGTGATTGATCACAAGTTAATCACAGGTGTGGTAAGAATAAGTCCCGCGTTAATCAGGGTTCTGGTGTGAAAATTGCTGAGCCCTTCATGCTCTTCCCCGCTTGCAGACGCCAGAGGGCGACATAGACGGCGGGACTCTAGCCGCCAAGCACGTCCGCCGCAGACCCATAGTCGGCCACGCGGTGGCGCTAAGCCACACAATATCCGGTTTTCCGCAGGCTTTGGGGAGCAGAGGGCTGACCCGGGGAGAGCGGAGACCGGGTAAGGGGGGCCTTGGGAGCCAGGGAGCCCTGAACCAGAGGGTCGAGGACCCCTGGACCGAGTATTCCCCGGGCTCCCGGGACACAACAAGATCAGCTGGGAATGAATGGGTCCTGGGCTTTTGTGAATCTGAGTGGGGCATCCCCTCCTCTGGGCGCCGGGCTGCGCCCCCTTCCCCTGGGCAGCCGCGGGGCCGTGACGCCTGGCGGAGGGGGCGCGCATCTTGGCGCGCGCCTGTCCTCGCAGTGGCTCATTCATCGCCGCCGCGGCACGCCGTTGCCATGGGGACGTGATGCAGGCGCGAGAAGCGGGAGGGAGAGGGAGGCCCCGGGTGACGTCCGCGCTCTTCTCGCAGCTCGTCTCCCGCGGCCTCCCAATTCTTACCTAATTTGGAAGAGAGCCGCAGCCCTTCTGCTGATGCGCGCGCGCTGGCGCCTTTTTAAGGCAACTGGCGGAGTGGCGGCTCCACCAGAGCCTGGGAGCTGCCCCCGCCCCCGAGCCGCGAGCCCTTCGCGGGGCCGGGGCCCGGGGAGTCCCCGGCGCCGCACGCCCCCACCACCCCCATCTTAGCGCCCCCCACCCTCTATGGGGACGTTTCAACCAGGGAAAAGGGAGGTCCTGCCCTTGCCCCTCGCCCCCGCCCCCCTCCTCCAACAGGGGAGACTTCTGTCCAAACCTTGGAAAGAAACGAGATGCCAGGCCTAGCGCCTTCGGGGATCCTCTCTGGACAAGGCCACAGGGTGAAAACACCAGGTGAGGACTTCACTACCCTTGGGGCCACCATGGGACCCTGGAGACCTTTGCCTCCCTCCAGGCCCCCCGGCCCCTTAACCTTTTTCTCCCTGTGCTCAGCCTGGAGCAGAGTTAGAATCCCGGGAAAGCCCCTTACCAGTTGCTCCAACCTCCTCCTTAAACTGGAAGGTAAACTGAGGCCCAGAGAAAAGTAGTGATTGACTAGTTCCTGGAGGGAGAGCATGGGCTAGAGCCCACGGCCGCTGACCTCCTGGCCAGAGGTCAGGCCATTCCTTATGGTTGAGCTTAGCCAGCCCCGTGGACCAGTCCCCAGCCTCTGCCCTGCACCAAGCAGAGGGGCTGGACACCTTTGTCATGACACCCACTGCCTCTCCTTCCCCAGCACAGTCTGGACCTGGGCGGGGTTTTTAGAAAAGCTTCGGGACACCACTCCACGACAGACCAACCAGGTTGCTGCTGCTTGCAAACATCGCCTGCATTGAAGGATTCCTGCAGCCACCAGCTCTGGAACTTTCTGGAACCAAACCTTTCCCCAGACGGCCTACAAGGACCAGTTTGCTTCTGGATGTAGGTGTGGCCTGCAGGGGTCTGGCAGGGCTCCCCAGAGTCAAGTGGACCCAGCCCTGTGGAACCCCTGCCTGGTCCTGTTGACTTCTGCCCTCTTCCTGCAGCACTTCCTGGAGGCGTTTGGCGGGGACCTGGGACGACAGCTGGGAAGTGCCTGACATATTCTCAAGAAGCTGGAGATTCCAGACATATCTGGGCCCCTCTCTGGACTGGGATGGGGGACCCAGAGGTGGAGAAGAACACACAAGCAGCACTTGAGGGCTCCAAGGGTGGCGAGGAGAGAAGTTTCTGCTCTGGTACAGCTAGCCCTAGGACCCTGAATGGTGCTTCAATGGAGCGTCCACCCCCAGCGCCAAGCCCTCAGTGCAGAGGGGGAGACTCAGGCGGCTCTCAGACAGACACAATTTGCCAAGGTCACACAGCAAGTCAGGGTGCCGCTAAGACTAGGACCTAGAGCTCCGCCTCCTGGCCCAGGCTTCTCAGCACCTGGACCCCAGAGGCCGGCCTGTGGGAGGCCTGCATGGCCACTGCACCACAAACCAAGGACCTAGTCTGGGTTCCCCTCCACCAAGCGCTGGCTGTGAGTCACTTGGGTCACTCCACTCTCTGCATTAGGCCTCAGTCATCCAAGACCATCTTTCAAGGGCCCTCACTCCAATTATGAGTCTGGGACTTTCTGAAATGGAGCGTTTTGGCCAGGCTGTGGGGACCTCTGTGGCCGCCTGTAAGACACTGCTGAGGAGACTTTCCTCCTCTCACCAGACTGAAGCTAAGAAGTGCTGGAGACAGCAGTTGCTTTAGCTACAGGCTATGTAGACCACCTGAGGATGATCTGGGAGTCTATTTTGTGCACCTTGGAACCCATCGGATCCCTCCAATGGTGAGTTCCCTGGTGTACCTAGCACCAAGCTGTGAGAATGACCCCCAATGGGTTGGGTGGAAGAAAAGTAGCAAAACTACAGGCTCAGTCCCAGTACTTATTCCCCTGTGTCCACACAGGCCAGGTCTCCAGGGTCCCTGCCCATCCAGGGCTGAGGACGTGGTCCTCTGGGAGCCTTCAGGCCCACTCGGACCCTAGCACTGGGCAATGGGCTCATCCCCACCTGAAACTGGGGCTTGGGGTTGCAGCATTCAACTTCCAAAGCCCGAGAGGCACTGGGACAGGTGGCCCAGCAGGCTCAGAGATGCTCAAGTACCAGAGGTGGGAGGGCCCTTTGAGGCTAAGGGGTCTGACCCACTGCTATTTTGCAAATACAAAAACTGAGGCCCAGTGAGGGGGAGAGGTTTGCAGAACACCCCCAGGAGGCTAGTGGCAGAGCTGGGAACAGAATCTGCATCTTCCGCTGCTCCTGTTCAGAACTATTCCCCTGCACCAAACATAATCCACTGACATCTAGACTGAGCTCACCTCTTCTTCTTCCTGGACCTTGGACTCCTTTTGCAGAAGACTCTCCGAACTAACAGCCTGTCAGGGCTGGCAATTCAGGGGTTTTCCCTTCAACCTGATGGTCCTTTCCAAAGCTTCCTAGTGCTCCTCCCCTCCCACCAGTGCTCAGCCCTTCTTGGCTTCAGAAGCTGCTCCATCCTCAGCCGTAAAGGTCACTCTCCCCTGCTCACCATGGTTCACCCAACTCCCTGTGGCTCCCGCATTCTCAGGCATGGAGAACACCATTCTCCCAGCTCGTGGGGGTCTTTTCTTTGTTGCCCCTAGGCCCAGTCCCTGACCCTCTCTGACCACTGGAGCCTTAAACCCCATCAGTCTTTCCTGGGACCCCCTGGACTGTTCCCTGTAGACTCCCTCTCTGCTGGCCCAGGGCCTGTGGGAGTAATGATGGCAGGCGTGTCATAGGGCTGCTGTGAGGTTTTCATGAATTAATACACTCATCAGGTACACAAGGTATGAGTAGGTGCCACATCTGTAAACTCCCATGTTACGAGCTGTGCCCTGTTAGTAACAAGGAGAGACTTGAAGCTGGAGCCTCTGGAGGCCGAGGCACCTGTGGGTGAAAGGGGAAGAAGGGAGGTGCCAGCCTGGAGGAGTTTTTAGTAATCAGAGATAATGGGAGCCATAAGGGTCTTAAGCTGGGAAGAAATGGTCAGGTCGGCTTCCAGAAGAATGGCAAGGAGAGGTGGGCTACTGAGCACCAGAGGGGTGTGTTGGGCCTAGCCCAGGCCCTCCATCCCTGGCTTGGTGAGCAGTGAAGGGGGAGCTGCTGCCCAGGGAAGAAGCTTGCTGGGGCCTGAGCCAGAGCCCTGAGGGGCACTTTGGGTATATCCCTTGACTTCTCCAGGCTACAGCCCCAGCCTGGCTTACTCCATCTTGTGCTCTCACACCTGGCCTGGACCAAAGCTGCTAGTGGGTACCCAGGCTATTTCTACACTTGCAGTGCCAGTACATGTGCTGCCTCCTGAACCAGCCCGTGCTGTCTCTGCATAGCCTTGTTCAAAATTATATTTTTCATAAAGTTAAGATAACGACCAACATTCTGCCATTGAGCATTTCTTGTGCTCCTTTTATGCGTCAGGCATTTTCTGAGTGTTTTAACTACTTAACTCCTTTAATGCTCACATAAGTCCCTTGATAGAGGTGCCATCATTCTCCCCACTTCTGTATTTAACAAATCGGTAAACTGAGGCACAAAAGGTTAAGTCACTTAACTGACCAATATCACAGAAACAATCTGTGGAGGAGGCAGGACTCAGCCCAGATTCTCCTCCCCCTGCCACCCCCTCCTGCCCCAGGTACATCCCTGCCCGCTGGCCTTTCCACACGGACCATGTCTCTCCCACCGCCTCTTGATGGTCCTTCAAACGTCTGCAAATGCCACACCACCCCTCAAGCTTCCTCTTCTCTGAGGAACATCTCTCCATTCCTTCCATCTTTTAAACATTTCTCACAAATGTTTATGAAGCACTTTACTTCACACTGGAATTAACAGTGGGCAAAGCAGTCACGGTCCCTGCCATGGTGACCAGTCTAGTGGAGAAGAGGCAATAAATTCCTCACCAAAATATAGTATTAAATCGCCATTTCGCCAAGTGCCAACAGAGGCCTGGGGTGCCTGCAAACCTGTAGCTGAGGATTTGGCCTCATCGGGAAGGTCAGGGAAGGCTTTCCAGAGGAGATGATATTTGGGCTGAACTAACGGGAAAATAGGAAGAACTTGGCAGAGGAGAGAGACAGCGGCACCCCAGGGGAGGGAACAGCATGTGCAAAGGCACTGTGGCAGCCAGGAGAGTGGCAGGCCAGGGACTGGAAGAAGGCTTATGTAGCTGGAAGAGAGGCAAGGGGGTGCATGAGGCCAGACAAGCTGGAGGGCTTACCAGAGTCAGGCCTGGGGGATGCCCTGGGCCCTGCCTCACAGCCTCGGGTGCAGTTGGCCCTTCCTCATTGGCTGCTGTGCTCAAGGCTAGGCTTGGACCCAGGGCATAAGTTCTAGAGCCAAACCTCCTGGCCCTAACAGAGGCTGCCCTCTCTCCACTTTTGCTGCCTGTCCCTGTTAACACAACCTCAGCTACAGTGGTTTCTTTTGTGGCTACATGGCACTGTGTCAAGTCTCATTTATGAGGCCACACTCCTCTGTCCACCCAGCCACCCACCCAGCACAGCCTGGCCCAGTCAGCACTGACTCGCTACCAGCAGCTCGACTCAAATGCACCTACTTGGGGAGGCCAGTGCCGACTCCTCAGGCAGGGTCACCCCTCCTTTTGCTCTCCCCAAACTCCCAGTATGCCTCCTTGACAGCAGTATCCCACTGAAGTTGCTGGATGGACCCCTTGCTCTCTCACCAGCCTGCAGGTTCCGTGAGGCCGAGACCAGCTGTATGTGGGCACCATCACGTCACTGCAGAGGCTGGCACAAATTCCACCCTCAGCTGTTTGTCGCATGAATGACTTACTCGCCTGAGCCCCTGCCCTATGTCAGGCCTTGTACTGAATGCTGGGAACATGAAGACCAGATGTAGTTGCTGGTAGGGGAGACAGCCAAGTAAACACACAGGGACAGCGCAGGGTGCAGAGTGTGGTGACGAGGAAGCACAGGGGTTGGGGGCACTGAGGAGGTCCCTGGACTTCACTGGAGGACCAGCAGGGCCAGAATTCGTCAGCTGGAAGTGGTGGTGGAGACGACTATGAAAATGGATGTGAGGAAAGTCTGCCTCCTCCAGTCTCCCCAGGGCACAAAGTGGCCGCTGCTCTGCATTTGAAAAGTGGCTTTAGTTTATTAGGTTTCTTTCCCCTCTTGAAATGTGGCTGCTCTGACTTGCTCCTCACTGCATTCCTTGCGTCCTCTTCTCTCAGCCTTGCCTTCAGGACATTGCCCACAAAAGTTTCATCTATTCCCACCTGGGCTCCACTCTCCCCCTCCCATCCCCTCCATGGTTCTATGTCCCTCACATTCCTGGCTCTCCGCTCATTCACCCAGCTCTGGCCGTCTCAATGCGTGGGTGCCAGCCTGCACCCTCTTTACATGAGCTTTGTTGATTTCATAACCATAAATAGATAAAATGTTCTGAATGCTTTCATGTGCAAGTAGAATTGAGGGAGTGATAGCATAATGAAAAGGCCTCAGGAAAAGGAAAACAGCCTGCTAAGATGCAGCGGAAGACAACACGGCCACTGCACAAGCCAGCTCTGCGTGGGTTTCCTATTCTCACTGCACTGACCGCGGAGCTGTGGACGCAGGATGGGGAGGTGCTTAGGAATCTGTTAGAAAACCTTTCCCTGGTTTCAAATCCACCAATTCAAAAGAACAACCTAGAAAAAAACAAAGTAGAAGTCAGGAAAATCTGGGTTCAATTGTGGATGTATCTCATTCTAGCTGTGTGATCCTGGGCAATTTAATCAATATCTCTGAGAAGACATACAGAGATTCTTCCCCTGGGTCAGACTGGAGGCTTCGGGAGGCCCAAGATCCCACAATACCTTCCTTTTCCTCCCATACATAAATTTTGTCTTCCTTACAATGCCTTAATCACCAGCCCTGAGACCCCCTGCCCAAAATGCAGTCCTGCAGACTAGGGTTGGACTAGGGATGGAATAGGGTACCCTGTCTCCTCATTGCCTTTTCCAACACTTGTTGCAGGAAGTGGAGCGTCATCCTGCATGGGGAGGATACATCTCCACAGCCACAAAGGAGGCTGGAAACCAGTAAAAAGCCTGGCCCATTGGGCTTCCCACCTCTCCTCCTTTAAGTTGTACAGGAGCACTACTTCTCTCTGGCATTTGGAACAGTAAAGGGAGCTGAAATGATAGCTTGGTATACCCTGGGTTAAGAGAGCTTTCTGGGTGAGAAAGAGAAACAAGTGGAGATATTCGTGGTGTGAACTCATCCTCTGGTCTAAGGATGGCAACCTTTTTTTTTGAGACCGAGTCTTGCTCTGTCGCTCAGGCTGGAGTGCAGTGGCCGGATCTCAGCTCACTGCAAGCTCCGCCTCCCGGGTTCACGCCATTCTCCTGCCTCAGCCTCCTGAGTAGCTGGGACTACAGGCGCCCGCCACCACGCCTGGCTAGTTTTTTGTATTTTTTAATAGAGACGGGGTTTCACTGTGTTAGCCAGGATGGTCTCGATCTCCTGACCTCGTGATCCGCCCGTCTCGGCCTCCCAGAGTGCTGGGATTACAGGCTTGAGCCACCGCGCCCGGCCCCAGCAAACTTTTTCTCTAAAGGATCAGTTAGTAAAAAAGGGTCAAAAGGTTCTTTAGGCTTTTGAACCATGTGGTCTCTGTTGCAACTACTCAGCTCTTCTATTGTAATGTGAAAACAGCCATAGACAGTGAGTAAATGAATGAATGTGACTGTATTCCAATAAAACTTTATTTACAAAAAGAGGCAGCAGGCTAGATGAGGCTAGATTTGCAGTCCATAGTTTGTAAACCCTAG